TATTTTCCTCTCAGAGCATCTTCTTTTCCTCTATCATTTTTTTTTTATTTTCTTTATCTTGAGCAATTTGTTCGTAATAAGCTTGCCATTCATCCGAGCAAAGTAAAGTAGACTTGAATTTTTTTTTTTTTTTTTATAACTGAATGCCAAGGTAAAGTAGTTTGAAAAGCCTGTGGCATTGAAGTTTTTAAATTTTAAGCATTCCCTGGTGCTGAACAAAATTTATAATTAACGATTGCTTTTACATAATATAAAAAATTACAAAATATAAAAAATCAAAATAAATTCTTACTCTTAGTAGGTGTACTTTGCGACCATTCTTTCGATGGTTGTGCAGAATCTTGGGTGATCTTTTGGGTAAGTAGTGGGTTGACGAGGTTGAGTGCGAGACGTAAACTCTCTTGGAGAGATGCCTGTGCTACGATTGAGCTTGAGATTTGGACGCTTTCATGGACGTACGGTGGGCTGACGGGGCTGGGCGCAAGAGGCAAACTCTTCTGAAGAGAAGCTTGCGCGGCGACTGGGCCTTGGGTCTGGCCAAGATGTGGCCCGATGGGACTAGGCGCGAGAGGCAAACTTTTTTGAATAGAGGCTTGCACGGCAACTGAGTCTCGGATCTGGGCGATTTCTTGGACGAACGGTGGACTGACAAGGCTGGACACGAGAGGCAAAGTTTGGTGGATAGCTATTACTTAAATGACTTGAGCAAGCTGTTGAGAAGCATTTTGTTCATCTAGTACTTGTGGCACGGCTTTTGATTCGGGGTAAATCATATCTGACTAAGTAGCATTGGATGGAATAACTGAATTTATTTGTTCTTGCTGTGTCAGACTATAAATTATTAGCAATCATTTGATTACCTGATTCTTTCAGGTTCAATCCATCTTCACTAACAATATAAAGTGTGATACCTAAATATAATAAACAAAAAGGTAGCCATGTGCAAAAATGAATGAAAAAATTGTCGATAATAAAATTAAAAATTTTACTGTTGATTATAATTGATTAAAAAATATATAATCTGAGCCTCCGTTAATAATAATATTGTATAATAATAAAGATAATAACGCTTCTAATGATGGTGAAGATGATGATTGTGATACTGATAATGTAGACAATAATGACGATAATGATGATGATAATGTCGATGATGATGAGGATGATCATGATAACGATGATTATGATAATGATNCATTTGAATATCCCGCCAAGTTATTCTATCACTTCTGAGATCCCTGGCATCAACTAATTAACAAAAAAGAATAAGGGTTCGTACACTAGTTACAGTAGGAGAGCACAACACGCATTACCTCTATACTCTGTAGACTCTATGCCTTATAGCTATAGCTATGTAGATTGTAGCAAACTAAACAGAACTTTTAAAAGTTTTAAAACTTTCAAAACTTCTAATTCTAAAAAGCAACTTTTATTAACAACCCTGGTCTCTCTACCACTCTTCTTAGACGGGAGAGTGGTGGGGAGACCACTTTTCGCCATCTTGAAGCCAACATTGGATAATTCCTAAACTGTGCATGAGCATTATCGTTACTTTTGGTTATTTTATATAGGGATTATCGAAAATAATGCTTACTTTGCGAGATATTGAACGCCCCGATCAGACCCCTGATGCAACCTGGAACCTGCCCACCAACGTGAGAGAGAGACAGATACACACGTTAGAAATTGTATTCCTTTTTCCGTGGGCTTCAGTGCCGTACGTAAGAACGAGCAGTCTATTTTTTATATGTCTATGCAGATACCCATGTTCGATATTGTGTCTCCTACTTGTGCTTCAGCGTCATAGAGATATAAGAATAGAGAGCGCTAAACCCACACAATTCTGTCTGGTGATGTTTTCATCGGTGCGAGAGAGAACGCTCCATTGTCATTACAGGGTCCCTACGGTAATTATGCAGCGGTCTCTTTCTGGGACACAGCTTAGTACAGAGTCATGTGGGTTTTGCGTACTGTATTTTTATTTTTCTATGTTCAGCGCCGTACATAAGAACGAGCAGTTTACATTTCTTATAATGATTGTACTTGTTCTTGTTCCCGCTGTTGTTCCTCTTATTTCCATTATTTTCTTATTCCTCGCTCTTATTGCATTTTTGTGCAAAGGCCCTAAAAATTTTTCCCCTATCGGCCTTACTGAACAGCCCCCTTACAAACGATATTTTTAGTCAGTCACTTCGAATAATTGAAATCACGCTGTCACATAAGCCTAGTTTCTGTGTTCAAAATGGTGTGTATTGTTGAATTCCTTCAGCATCCATTAACATCATATTTATTTGACTAATATAGCTTGCAATATATTCCATACTCATTTTATTTCATATTTTTGTACCTTGCTCTCTATCTATTTTGCATCCGAAATTGTTATTTACTGCATATTATATTTGGTTAGCTATGGTAGTGCTCGCATTTCGCGTGCCATTTAATAAGAAGTAACTCAAAAAATTGGTTTCAGGGTCGGGTCAGGACTAAAACTGTTAAGAAAGCAGCTCGCGTCATTATTGAAAAGTACTACATGAGGTTGACTCTAGATTTTCATACCAACAAAAGATTATGTGAAGAAATCGCCATAATTCCAAGCAAGCCATTAAAGAACAAGATTGCGGGGTAGGTATCAATACTTTATTTGATATTTTTCACACCACCTGTGGTGCTAAGAACATTTCCTAAGCTAAGAACTTGTTATTTACCGAAAGGCTATGGTATAGTTTTACCACAAGATATTTTGCTGAAATTAAAGGATGTCAATATTGTTTGTACCTGTAGTGCGTTGATACAGTTTTCTGATCAGCAGGTATATATCAGCAGCACATGAAAAATCACATCCAGTGTTTACCTGCGCGTGATCTCACCCAATTCTTGAATAACTTTAAGTGCCCCAATGTTGACACTTTCAGTACTTGGCAGCCTTAAAAGTTATCTGTGTCGAAATTCGTTAGGCTTTAACAGCAACAAATTTTAAACTTCATTGCAAAGGGTGTTAAAAATAATGTGAAAATCTGACGTATTGATGAGTCTACTTGCCAATGCCCAATGTAGAAGTATTAGCAAACTAGTAGTAAAATGAATTATAATCTTTTTCTTCTAATTCTTTCATTGCATATACATCAAGTAAAATTTTTTTGCATCTTCTGGTGTATGTAGCAAATAGTGTGATTACTGCATTATAATATCTTGTAAAAAAATTAGGTTTCACGATTTTGAGTAGGGTGATACTGTACTCAGTGCAGCTGTTTTATAAACGCGTATCTTGATACGTGTACGAATTTTGAGAATTGACAAAATATGGTCACTGTATTTTAAGCCAGATTGTTGATGTGGAACACATTTTGCCAACATTGAAATTACGTACTGTGTGACTTTATTATGTTCTATCTTATCCGTGTTAATTGTTTTTGTTCATAGAGGTAATTCTACAAGTATGTTGTAACACTAATATACTACCTGAATGTTTTGTGTTTCGAATAAGAATTAAAACACCAAAAATGGGCTTAACCCTTGACATTGAACACAGTTGGTATTACCTCAATTATTGAATAGTATTTTTATTAAATATATTTAATCACGCTTGAAGTTAAGAAATCGAAACAGTTTACACAGTTAACTTTATATCTATAAAGTGGGACTCGAATCTAATGCATATTAGCAAATCAAGCAATATATTTCGTGTTGATTCATAACTTTGTACAAGAACAGTAAATACTGAGTAAAGGACTTAGTGTATCTAGAGATCGAGTTGAGAATACTATCCGAGGCCCTTCAAAAAGAATGAACTTGTTTAGATATATTTGCCAGTAAACTGTGATATAAGTAGAGCTCAAAGAAATAACAGATGTATACGAAAAATTCTCTGCTTTTTTAAAATGGTAAGTACCTTCAAAAGTGCTGGTTATCATACGTCATGAAACGGTGTGCATCTATACACAAGTCAAAAACTTGAAATTGACGTGCTATTATTAGGTAAATGTCCCTATTCGTGGAATGTGTCCCTATTTATGGAATATGAAAATTCATGCTTTTGTTATACAGCTAACTTGATGAAAAAATTGTGGTAGTTGGGCATTTTATGTATCTTTACGAATTCACAAGAAAAATTTCATTTTACATACAGTAAATGACCAATTTTAAATATAATTCCATAAATAGGGGCAAAGTCGTACATAACCTATCTTCTGAGCTGTACGCATTATGTCACCAAACTTCAACGAGAAATGTACATACTTCTAGTAAACAAACAAGCGACATAGTTATTTTTTTTTTAAATAAAACATTATTGTTAACTTTTCTATTTATTGATAAGTAACTTCATCAATATTATTTGTCGTAGTTTTAGGTTGGTCTTCAAAACCGTCATCATTTAAGCTTTTGCTAAGTGAAATTGGTGTAACGGAAATTTCAGTATTTGTCATGTCTGAGTCTGACTCAGTCTCCGTACTAGAGTCTATTTATGTTTCAGTTAGTTCTTGCCATAATCCACTTCGTCTAGGGTCATATACTGGTATTTGAGTATCTTCTCTTAACGATTTTTCAGTATCGCTTAGATCATAGTTATAATAATAATAATGATGTTAATAATAATATTGTATAATAATAAAGATAATAACGCTTCTAATGATGGTGAAGATGATGATTGTGATACTGATAATGTAGACAATAATGACGATAATGATGATGATAATGTCGATGATGATGAGGATGATCATGATAACGATGATTATGATAATGATAATAGTAATTGTTAAGATAAAAATAATGATAATGATAATAATAATGATAATGATAATAATAATGACAATGATAATAATATTGTATAATAAAGATGTTAACGCTATAAATGATGATAATAAAAATGGTTAACTGATGATGATGACAATAATTTTAATAATCATGATAATAATAATAATAATGATCATCATAATGTTAATGATTAGATAATAATAATGCTGATGATACAGGTAATAATTATAATAATAATAATGATTATGATGGTAATGTTTAATAATAATGATAAAAACGCTATTAATGTTGATAATAATAATGATAGTAATGATAATAATGTATAGTAATGATGATGATACCGCTATTACTGTTGATAATAATGATTATAGTAAAAAAGATAATGATGAAGGTGATGACAATAAAAGTGATAAGGATAATGATGATAGTAATAATGTTGATAATAATAATGCTGATAATGATAAAAATAATGATAATTATAATAAATATAATATTGACGATAATGATAATAATGAGGTCAATGATGATATAGTAATAATAATAATAATAATAATTAAAATAATAATAATAATAATAATG